GTGCTAGGATTACAGGCGTGAGCCACCGCGCCTCGCCTCTTTTTCTTTCTATATCATTTGGATTTTCCAAACTGTTCATGTGTTGCCTTTATAAATAAAAACAAAGCTGAAAAAAAAAAAAAAAAAAAAAAACAAAGCTGAAAAACTGGATTATATGCTTGCATGATTCAAAGTTCCATTGAATGGTGGTAACCCTAAGCTAGAGGTTAAGATCCTGCATTTCCTCTTACCCTAGCTCTCCTCCACAAGTATGACCATGCACAACTCATGACATTTCTCTTAGCTATTATTCTCTATTATTTCAGTAAATATTATCTCAACACAGTAAGGAATGATTTGAAAAATCCACTAAAAATACATGAACATTAACATAAATCAAACAAGACCTATACTAGCTACTACTAATATATATATATACACACACCAGTGTTTACAAAATAATTTTATTTCTCCCCTGTATAGTAGGTAAAGCTGGTTTCACTGTATATATTTTAGAGGTGAATTTTAGAGAATTCAAGTGAAATGAAAGTAAAATGGAGACACTTTCAAACACACCAAGACTTACAAAGTCCACAAGCTCTTGCTGAAAGAAGCACCAAAGGATGTATTTTAATATGAAGAAAAATGAACTCAGGGAGAAGGAATGAAATACAAGAAACAAAAGTAAGCAAGATTATCAGTGAAAACTAATAAATATGGATAATAAAAGAGAAAAGCAGAACAAATATAATTTTTTTCAAGTAGTAAAACAGTGAACAAAAAGACTTGGTAAAAAATGACATGTGGCTCAGACCTATAATCCTAGCACTCTGGGAGGCCAAGATGGGAGGATCACTTGAGGAAATTCAAGACCAGCCTGAGCAAGATCCTGTCTCTACCAAAAATAGAAAAAAAAAAAAAAATCAGCCAGGTGTGGTGGCTGGTGCCTATAGTCCCTGCTACTCGGGAGGCTGAGGCAGGAGGATCACTTCAGCCCAGGAGTTTGAGGTTGCTGTGAGCTAGATCATGCCACTGCACTCTACCTGGGGCGATGGAGTGATACTGTTAGCTCAAAAACAACAAAAAAAAGACATGATGGCTACAAAAAGATGTTTAAGAGAAAAATTAAAATATGCTACTGTACTTAGCTGGTTTAGAAGGAACTAGAAGATACTGATAAACCTTAATATTTTGCTAAAAAATTCATTTTAAGAATGTATATTAATCTTTAGAGTGATCATTGAAGGAACAGAGATGGAACATATACCTTTCAAACTGACTGAGAAATAAAAGAAACAAAGCAAACTATCTAGTAAATATAAGGTAGGAAAAGGGGAGGAGGAAGAAGAGAAAATGCATAGGAAGTAAACAGCACAAAAGATGATGGCAGAAATAAATCTAAGTGTATCATGAATTAGGGTAAATATAATCGTAAACTCACCTACTAAAAATGAGACTCCCAGATTGGCTTAAAATTCTGCCCTATACTGTTTATAAGACACACTTCTAAACAAACAATACAAAATATAAATTAGGAAATAGAAAAACATGTATACAGAAAATGCAAATCAAAAGAAGACTGCTATAGTTAATTATTAACATCACAGATTTTAAATGAACAGCATTTAAAAGGGAAAAAGGAGATTTTGTTACTAATGAAAGGAATCATCCAATAAGATAATTTAACAATTATGCATATATACCATAAAACATAACTTCAAATATATAAGCAAAACCTGAAAAGCATGTGTATAAATGGAAAAATCTATAATCCTAATGGGAGTTTTTAACACATCTAAATAACTGATACATCAAGCAGACAAAAATAAAATAAGGATTTAAGTGTTTCAAATAATATCAATAATCTTAATCTAACAGAAATACTCACACACTTTCATTCAATAAAAGAATAGAAATATGTTGTTTAAGACTGCATAAAACATTTATCAAAAATTGATAGTATTAGGTCCATAGGCCTTCTCAACAATTTTAAAAGCTCAATACAGGCACACTCTCTACCCAATATAATTATAAAGCAATTACAATAACTTGAAAAGCACATTGAAAAGCAAAGAAAAGAAAGCAGTCCCATCACAACAGTTCCACCAGTGTCCCTTTGTAATCAAGCCTTCCCCACTCCAGGCAGCCACCTCTATTTGTCTCTCTCTTAGCTCTGTCTTTATCAGAATTCACAAGAATGGAATGATGCAGTATGCAGTCATACAGTTTACCGACTTTAGTCTGGCTTTTCTCATTAATATAATTAATAATATATTTGAAAAAGATATAATGAAAATAAATCAGCTAAGATCTCTACCAAAAATAGAAAAAAAGTAATGACCAACTACCAAAAATATATACAAAAAATTAGCCGGCATGTGCCTCATGCCTTATCCCCAGCACCGGAGGCGAGGCAGTAGACGCTGACCCCAGAGATGGAGGTTGCTGGAAAGCCAGGCTGACGCCACCGGCACTTCACCTAGCGCTGGGCACAAAGTGAGAATCTGTCTCAAAAAAAAAAAAAAAAAAGCAATCTCAAAAGAATAATAAAAAGGATCACTAGCCGGCGCGGTGCTCACGCCTGTAATCCTAGCACTTGGAGGCCAAGGCGGGCGGATGCTCAAGGTCAGAGTTCGAACCAGCCTGAGCGAGACCCCGTCTCTACTAAAAATAGAAAAATAATTACCAACCTAAAAATATACCTAAATATATACAAAATATTAGCCAGGCATGGTGGCGCATGCCTGTAGTCCAGCTACTCGGAGCTGAGGCAGTAGGATCGCTGAGCCCCGAGAGACTGAGTTGCTGTGAGCCAGGCTGACGCCACGGCACTCACTCTAGCCTGGCAACAAAGTGAGACTCTTCCTCAAAAAAAAAAAAAAAAGGATCACTAAAATAAGATGTTCAAACTCACAAGCAGAAGTATCTGACAAAAGTCTAACACTGGAAATATTAGGAAAAAATGTTTGGAGGCCGAGGTGGCCGATCGCTCAAGTCAGGAGTTCAAAACCAGCCTGAGCAAGAGTGAGACCCCATCTCTACTAAAAATAGAAAGAAATTAATTGGCGAACTAAGAATATATGGAAAAAATTAGCTGGGCATGGTGGCACATGCCTGTAATCCCAGCTACTTGGGAGGCTGAGGCAGGAGGATTGCCTGAGCCCAGGAGTTTGAGGTTGCTGTGAGCTAGACTAATGCCGCGACACTTTAGCCAGAGAAACAGAGTGAGATTCTGTCTCACAAAAAAAGAAAAGAAAAAAGAAAAAAAAAGTGATACTACATAGTACGTGTCAGGGAAAAGAGCATCCTTATATAATTCTGAGAGATAATTTTAAAATATCTGTCAAAATTAAATGTGCAATACTTTTTGATGAAGCAATACCACTGCTAGAAATTTATCCTAAAAAACCAGAACTGCATTATTTATAATATGGAAAAATCTGATGTAAATGGCTATCGATAAGGAATTGTTTAAACAAAATTATGATACATCCACACAATAACATATCTTTATTCATCATATGCAATGATGCTTACCTATACTCCCTTGATATATTACTAAGTGTGAAATGCAGTTAGCAAAACTGCCTATGTGATAAGATTCCTTTTGACAGATGAAATAAGTATCTATAAATGCATGTGGCCACATATGCAGAGTGAAATGTCTAGAAGGATATGTTCCAGTGGTCAATCATTTGCATTCTCTGGGATTTCTAAAAGATCATCTCTCTCTTTCTTTTTCTTTTTTTTGAAACAGAGTCTCACTTTGTTGCCCAGGCTAGAGTGAGGCCATGTAATTTATAAGCCGAATAAAAAAATGAACTTGTCATAGATTAAGAAGATAACACTAAAGAAAATGGCCAAAAAAGCAATTCTCCGGCGGACTGCGGTGGCTCACGCCTGTAATCCTAGCACTTCTGGGAGGCCGAGCGCGGATTGCTCAAGGTCAGAGTTCAAAACCCACTTGTGAGACCTCGAAGTGTCTCAGGTTATTATTTTCTTCGATTTGTTTTGTATCTTTCAACTTTGTGCTTTAAAGAAAATTTTTTTTGGAGATTTCAACCTCTTTCAAGAATTTTTTGAATTTTTTATTTGATCAAAATTTCCTTTGTGGTTTCTGGATTTTTTTCTTATAGTGGGATAATCAAAAAGTCTTCCCCACTTCAACATTATTAAAATTTTTTTATCCGTATTTTGGTGTTTTACAGTTCACTTTTCTCCCATCTTTGAATCTTTAATCCATTTGGAGCTTGTTTTAGTATAAAGAGTGGTATGTGTCAATGCCTCCCTGTCCTACTTTGGTTTTTAAACTTGACCAGTGAAAAAATCCAAGATGTGAGGAGAATTAATCATAACAGAAAGTGATATGTACTTCTGTGCTTTCCAGCTCTTTATTGTGGCTTGAGTATTGATGAGTGGAGCTGGAGGCGGGGAGGGCACAGGGCGGGTGGGCAGTGGTAGCTGGAGTGCCCATGTCAGAACTGCCTTCCGTGCATGTGTTTGGACAGAGAAGTAAAGAGAGGATACTGGCAGAATGTCTCTTTGCAATTTTGTTTCCCTCTTTTTTTGTGACCCCAGTTCTTTATCAGGGGAAGTGGGACTGTGGTAGGGTGGCATATGATACTGCTGGTGAGAGAATGTAGATACACGTTTTAAGTCTTGGATCTGTACTGTTTTTGATTACCAAGTGCCGTTTTTCCATGAGGAAGCCATGAACTCTGAATTCTGTGGACAGCAGTATTTTTTTAACTTTTCATTTCCACATATGTTCCTAGTTCAGAAAGGAATGGGGAGTGGGGAGGCTTTTTTCTTCCCTCCTTAACCCATAAGTAAATTCTATTAAGTTTCTTCTATTTCTTACAGAAATTTCAAGTATTATTTTTAGTTAAAAAATTTTTTTTTGATATATAATGTACATATTTTGGGGGTACACATGATGTTTTGATACATGTATACAATGTGTAGTGATCACATTAGGGTATTAGCATAGCCATCACCTCAAACATTTATCTTTTCTCCAGGCATTGTTTGTGACAATTACATACTGCTGTATGTTCTATTGGGGAAACTGAAGGTCTTTGATTCAGAAGAAACAAGAAGAAGGTAAGACATAGAAATGTACTTATGGCTTTGAAATGTACTCTTCTTCAAGTTATAATATCAAGATTATTTCTTTCGGATAATACATTTTGACAATACAAATCAATTTAGAGAACACAGGATGGAATAGATGCCAAGGGTAGAACCACAGCTGGTGATGACAGCCTCTGTTCGTTGTATACCTAACACAGTGCAGAGGCTTTGCATATATTATCACTAATTCATACTGTATTAATGTCTTCAACATAGAGACAGCAAGCTAAGGCTTCAGGAGATACATAACACACCCACTTGTCCTGCTTGGTAAAGGGCAGAGCTGAAGTGTGGACTCTGGTCTCTCTGCCTTCAGAGCCAGCTGTGTTGTAGGTGACCTAACGTCTATTCTGGCCGGTTCTTCAAAGGCCTTTCCTTGCATTTTAAACTAGATAATTGAAATATATGGAATGACTTAAAAAAAAAAAATAAACTAGATAGTTCCTCCTCTTTTTGCTGCTGCTTTATTTTCTTCATGGGTCCATAGGCAATAGATGTCATAACCATAGTCAAATTTTCACATTTAGAAACCATAGCTTATAGAATGCATTAAAAAATAACATTTATAATAATATTTGCCAAGGTTTTTCATTATTGAAGAGTTGGTAGGGCCTCCATCACCCATATGCAACTGTGAATGGCACCCTTACTCAGGACACTTTCATTTGTCCAAAATTTGTTATAATATGCTGATTTGTTAGAACGAGACGTTTGTTGTAATGAATGTATAAGTAGTCAGCAGCTGAGATATAAATGGTGCCCCTGAAGATTGTGCAGTGCCCAGTAGCCAAGTGAGGAGAAGACGTATAAAGGTGGTGGTAATTACTTCTGTCATTCTCATTGTAGAACTATTCTGTTTCAGGTTTTTCTAGGGACTGGCTCTGTATGGTTAGTAAGTGGGGTGTAAGGGAGGATAGGAGGTAGGTGGACAGACCTATATTTTATCTTTATACAAATGGAAAAAGCATATCAAATTTTAGTGTCCATCGCATTCCTGCTGTAGGCCTCCCTCTGTCTTGCACCTTTGACATCTGTGAGTAAAACTGTCTTTGCCAACAAGGTCATAGAATGTCAATGGAGAGGCAAGACACATATACATGGAACTGAACTGGAGAGAGTTTGCCAAGACATTCCATTGCACTGTGTGACTTAAAGCATAGAAAGCATCAGAGATAGAAAAGGTTATTGTGGCCAGAAGTTATCAGGGGAGGTAAGATATACCCAGGTGGGGAGGACAGGAGTCTTGAAATCCTGTTATTTTCATGTGCATTCAGAGGCAGAAGAGCTGTGTGTCCAAAGACCCTCAGGTTGACCAGGGTAGGACCCTTAGGTAGACCAACCTTCCCATAATGACATCACTGTTCATCCTCTCCATAGCAAATCCTGGCTTCCCAGGAGCCCTCCGCCAGGTGACTGTGGCTGAGGAGGGCACTGTCAGAAGCCGCCTCAGCCCACCCCTCCTCATGTTGTTGATCTGCCCCTTGCGCTGAAGTTCCTTAGCATTTGCTGTAAACAGTCTGTACTGCACGTCATGCCAAGTTTACGTGTTGCCTTGGGATTCTTCTCCCACCACCTCCTTCCTTTGGCTGCTTAATGCCTGGTCTGTGAATGTAGAAGTCCGGCAGACTGAAGCCTATACTCATGGTGCAGGGAACACCCTCCGGGATCCCAAACTGTAAACCACCCCCAGCCTTGGGATCTGGAGCAGAGCTGAGGCCGTGCTGTCACTCCACAGTTCGAATGCTCTATGTCTCTTTTTTTTTGGGGGGGGGGGTCTCAGCTGGAGGTTCTATGTAAAAGCAGGCGTTCTAGAAGGTTCCATCTTGTGATTCTGATCTGGTATATGGCTTGTGAATAGACTGCAATGAGAATCACATGAAAGCTCAGTACTAAGGACAGACCTTTAAGTACTTGCTATCCAGACTGGGCATTGAGTTTAGCCAATGAGGTGGAAAGGGGGCTAGGTTGGTGTTTTGGGCAAGTAAAAGCTATTTCATAGTCAGCATTTAAAACTCAAGAGATGGTTATCCTATTTGTGTCTGGAGGACTTGCCTTTCAGGGGAAGAATCTCAGTGGTCACCATGAATAGAATAGTCATCGCTACAGGGTTTTTCTTATCTAGATTTGCTAGAATCCATATCAGATCACACAGCTGAAGAAGACCTTTGGTTTATTTGGGTTTGTTGCTAGTAAAATCTTCTTGCATTAAATCCTTCTTTTTTCATAGTGGTAAAGAAGAAACACATTTGCTTGTTTTTATCGTAGATTTATCTTTTAACCCTCCATTACCCATATCTCTCCCTTTAGGCGTCTAGGACAAAGTTATATACCATAATAAACAGTGAAGAACAAGAAGTAGTAGTTTTTCCAAAATAATCAAAAGATATGTTTTAATCTTGGTCTTGATGTAAAAAGCTAAAATACTTTTTTTTTTTGGTTGATGGTATTAATACGCATGTAGTTAAATGAAGGTAAGCGATTTTGGTCAGGATTTTCGGTTTTGTTTTGGAGGTTTTGTTCTCTCATCTTTCTGCTACAATTTGAAAATCTGTTTTGGGTGGTAGAATACTAACACAATCTCTGGTAAATCTTCCAGACTCCGTGACTCACGTGCTTCAGCGCTGCTGTGGATGGCCCCAGCTCTCCTGCCTGCCCTTCCAAGTAGGATGTCCCTGAGATCCCTCAAATGGAGTCTCCTGCTGCTGTCACTCCTGAGTTTCCTCGTGATGTGGTACCTCAGCCTTCCCCACTACAATGTGATCGAACGTGTAAATTGGATGTACTTCTACGAGTATGAGCCAATTTATAGACAAGACTTCCGCTTCACACTTCGAGAGCATTCAAACTGCTCTCATCAAAACCCATTTCTGGTCATCCTGGTGACCTCCCACCCCTCAGATGTGAAAGCTAGACAGGCCATTAGAGTTACTTGGGGTGAAAAAAAGTCTTGGTGGGGATATGAGGTTCTTACATTTTTCTTACTAGGCCAGCAGGCTGAAAGGGAAGACAAAATGTTAGCATTGTCTTTAGAAGATGAACACCTTCTTTGTGGCGATATAATCCGACAAGATTTTTTAGACACATACAATAACCTGACCTTGAAAACCATTATGGCATTCAGGTGGGTAACTGAGTTTTGCCCCAATGCCAAGTATATCATGAAGACAGACACTGATGTTTTCGTCAATACTGGGAATTTAGTGAAATATCTTTTAAACCTAAACCAGTCAGAGAAGTTTTTCACAGGTTATCCTCTAATTGATAATTATTCCTATAGAGGATTTTACCAAAAAACCCATATTTCATAACAGGAGTATCCTTTCAAGGTGTTCCCTCCCTACTGCAGTTGTTTGGGTTATATAGTGTCCAGAGATTTGGTGCCAAGGATCTATGAAATGATGGGTCATGTAAAACCCATCAAGTTTGAAGATGTTTATGTCGGGATCTGTTTGAATTTATTAAAAGTGGACATTCATATTCCAGAAGACACAAACCTTTTCTTTTTATATAGAATCCATTTGGATGTCTGTCAGCTGAGACGTGTGATTGCAGCCCATGGCTTTTCTTCTAAGGAGATAATCACTTTTTGGCAGGTTATGCTAAGGAACACCACATGCCATTATTAATATCACAGCTACCAAAAGCCTAGAGAAGAACAGGATACTTTGTGGAAAGTGTTAAGTGTGGCACTGTGGAAAATTCATGGGAAGGTCAGTGTGCTGGCTTACACTGAGCTGAAACTCATGAAGAACGTGGAGGCTGGAGATTTAAGCTTTACTTGTGATCTTGTTTGACAAAAATCAAGTCAGTCCCCTTAAAGATGATATTCAGAAGAATTAAATATAAAGAAATTAGAGGTTTTGCTAATGAAATTAATAGGACCAAACAATTTGGACATTGTCATTCTATAGGATAGAATTTCTTAAAAGGGTTTCTCTGAATTATAAACTCATTGGTTCATAACAGTAAAGCAATGTGGAGTGTTATTTATTGAACAATTTAGTCACTTAAAGGTTTCGTGTGTATCGTATATGGATTACCAATTTAAAAGTATAGTTCTGTGTAAACAAACTTCATTGAAGTTATACCGAACAAAATTTCATCTGTTTTTTTGTCATTTAGAAGGTACTTGAAGATGTTGCAGTATTTCAGAGTTATCAATTATTATTGAATATTACTTTGAACTTACTGAGTGTTTAAATGTTTTGATGGTTTCAATACTGTGTAAATAGAATAGTGAATCACTGTTTATATTGAAATGTTTTTCTAGTTACTTCACTGAACAGTTTGTTGATAGCCCCATTAGTGTGAAGTCATAGGTTGTTATTGTATATCAGTAATCTCTTGAACTTTGTTAAATATTTTACCGTGGTAATATAAAGAATTAGAGCAAGAAAATCTGAATTATTGTCTTATTTTTTAAAAATATAGTCCCCAGTGTTTTTAGATGTCACTTTGTCTTATTTTTCCACCTGGTAATTAGGAATAATTTAGAATGCCAGGCAGTATAGTTCCTTTTGCAAAGGATTCTGAAGGAAAAAAAAAATAAAAGGAGAGAACCTGACGGCCAGAATATTATGGAAAGAGTGTCAAATTCCAGTATTTGAGTTGGAAAGAGGAGACTGAAGATCCAAGTTGCATTATTAATCTGCCCTTATGTTTCATCATTAACAATGAGTTTGTGAATAAAGAGAACAAAAGAAGGAAAAAAAACCCCTGCTGTTATTATTAGTTTCTCATTAAGACGAAAGCCCTAATGTGTAGTCTAAAGTCAAATCTGATTTAAATTTCCTGCTTTCTTAGAAGTACATTTCTCCATAGAAGCGGTGATGTGTGTTTTGTTGGACCTGCTGAAATGAGGTCAAAGAGGGAGCACTCCTTACCCCCTTCTCCCTGGGATTATGCGATTTCCTCTTAGAGTTGATACAGGCAAGTGATTCCCTTTTTCTGAATTATGTGATGGCAAAAGATCAAATCCCTTGTCAGGAACTGCAAACTTGAAAGTGTGTAGTTAGCTCTTGTAATACTCAGATATTTATAATTCTCCTATATGAAAAACCTAACTTCAATTAAAACTGTAATGCATGATTCTCTAACAAGACATTTATGTTTTCCTGGGCTCAGACCTGACCCAGTTATTAATACAATAAAATCAATTAAACGAAATATTCTGTGGAACCAATCTATGCCCTTGCTAATCCCCATCCATATAGGAGTCACTTTCCTTAAGACAGATGGTAGTGGTTATCTTTGTGCTATGATTAGATTTGATTGGGTTTGTGGGAGATTATAGTCATGTGCCACATAATGACATTTTGGTCAGTGATGGATGACGCATATGACAGTGGTCCCGCAAAATTATAATGGAGCTGAAAAATTCCTATTGCCTAGTGGTGTCCTAGCTCTCGTAGTGTCCTAGCACAGTGCATTACTCACATGTGGTGACGCTGTTGTAAACAAACCTGTGCTGCCAGTCACATGAAGGTACAGCACATTCAGTTATGTACAGTGGATTGTACTTGATAATAAATGACTGTGTTACTGGTTTATGTATTTACTGTACTTTTTATTGTTAGCATGTACTCCTACTTATTAAAAAAAAATGTTAACTATAAAACAGCCACAGGCAGGTCCTTCAGGGGGTATTTCAGAAGAAAATATTATCATAGGAGATGACAGCTCCAGGTGTGCTATTGCCCCTTGAAGACCTTTCAGTGGCATAAGAGGGGAAGATAGAAGACAGTGATGTTGATGATCCTGACCCTGTGTAAGCCTAGGCTAATGTGTGTTTGTTTCTTAGTTTTTAACAAAAAAGTTTAAAAAGTAAAATAAATTAGAAAAAAGCTTATAGAATAAGGACATAAAGAAAATATTTTTGTGTACCCATACAATGTTTGTGTTTTAACCTGTTACTACAGAAGAGTCAAGAAGCTAAAAATTAAAAAGTTTATAAGATAAAAAGTTACAGTTAGCTAAAGTTAATTATTGGAGGAAATTTTTTAATATAAATTTAATGTATACTAAGTATACAGTGTTTGTAAAGGCTATAGTAGTGTACAATAATGTCCTAGCCTTTACATTCACTCACCACTCACCACGCAGAAAAACTTCCAGTCTTGCAAGCCCCATTTATGGTAAGAGCCCTATATAGGTATACCATTTTTTATCTTTTATGCCATATTATTCCTACACTGCTTCTATGTTTAGATACACAAATACTTACCATTGTGTTTCCTACAGTATTCAGCACAGTAATATGCTGGTTTGTAGTCTAGGAGCAATAGGCTATACCATATAGCCTAGGTATGTACTAGGCTGTACCATCTAGGTTTGTGTAAATACACTCTGTGATGTTCACACAATGATGAAATCACCTAACAACACATTTCTCAGTACTTATCTACGTATGACTGTGTATTGGTGTTTGAGAAGCTAATTTATTTTTTTTTCTTTGAGACAGGGTCTCACTCTGCTGCCTGGGTGAGAGTGCCGTGGCATCAGCCTAGCTCACAGCAACCTCAAACTCCTGGCTCAAGCAATCCTCCTGCCTCAGCCTCCCGAGTAGCTGGGACTACAGGCACACACCACTATGCCCTATGCCCAGCTAATTTTTCTATATTTTGTAGAGATGAGGTCTCTCTCAGGTTTGTCTTGAACTCCTGGCCTCAAGCAAATCTCCCACCTTGGCCTCCCAGAGTCCTAGAATTGCAGGCATGAACCACCGCACCTGGCTAGAGAGAACTTTTAAAATAAAAAGTAATTTCCTTCACTTTTAGAAAAGACCAAAAAACCAGAAAAATAAAGTGTGAATAATTGCCAAATTTTGGAAGATTGTTCCTTCTGAACTAAAGATTGTTGCCTAAAAGATCTCTAAAAACCGGCGGGCGCGGTGTGTGTGCACTCGTCTGATCAATATTGGCAATAGAAGCTACCGGTAGCAGTTATCTACTGGCTGAACAGGTTTCGTAGATCAAATTTACTCAAGCTCACGTTAATATTCAGAACTAATGGTTAACAACAAGATATCTCTTACGCTGGGAGGCCAAGGGCGTGTGCTGTGTATGGAAGTGGAACTCATTCATCTTGCTCGAGGTCAGTGTTGTCAAGACCGCCTGAGCGTAATGTTGTCAAAGACCCTAAAGTACTTCTTTTTATCTATTACATGTGTAGAAAGGCTTTTAATGATTGCTTTAAAATATGGCCACTAAAGCAACTAATTGTGAGGGAAAAACAACATATTACTAAGACATATAAATTAAACTGCCGCCTGGCTGAATATGTGTGGTCTTCCTAGTTAAAACTGAATCTTATTGATCAGGGAGGCTTAGAACCGACGGAAGAGTGTTCGAGCTTCCGGTAGAATTTGAGGTTAGCTGTTGAGCTGGCTTCGCCTCGGGGATCTTCTAGGCCATCAGAAGGCTATAAGCATGCCAATGTCATGTGTGCAAAAAAAAGAAATTATCCTCTAAAATAGATTGTGAGTGATATAATGTTATATAGAGAGCAACAGTGTAAAGGTGAGTCAGGAATGCGTTTGTTGTATTTTACTTAAAACTATATGTTCTTTTTCTTAGGTGTAGGTACATATTAGTCAGCTGTGTTATTAAATCATTAGTAACGAGTCTCGTCATTATGTTGAGCTGTAAATTCAGATACTGTTGCTCAATTTTGCCAGCATTAATTAGGAAGTACAAAGAGTTCAATATTGGTTTTTTTCACAAAGGAATGTCAATACAGCAGACTTGTTTTTGAGTATTTCAATGATTCCGTATAATTCATAAACACAGATTGGTTTTTTCAACAAATGATCATTAATCTGAGAGCCATACCCCTTTGGGACACGTAATGCTAGTCTATACGCCTAGCCACTTACACTGCTTATGGTCGTTGTATCGAGACACGAACTGCTCATAGGTGCAATCAATGAACTAGATTGCTTGTTCTAATTATGCATTCGAGTTTTGTACCTAACAGATTTAGAGGAGATTTGTAGATGTTGGCTTTGACGATGATTCCAGAAACTCTGGAGCTGGAAGTCTATTAGAAGCAACCATGTTTACATTGTTAATTCCTGTACCCAAGTGCATGCCGCACTTGGCTGTCCGCCTTGCTCCATGGTTCTATTAGTGTGCCCCACATCATGATCATGGCGAGCCTGGCCTGACAATAGATCTGTGAACAGAAGTGCAAGGATGCTAGAGAGCTCTGGCTTGACCTCCTGTTATTGCGGTCAAGAGATACATCCGGAAAGCTGGTTGAGAGAATAAAAGGAAAATCCCTTGATCTCCCCAAGACATTTTTTTTTGTTCTCTCAAAACCAAAGGCTATAAATCCAATGGGGAATGACTAAGGAAGGAATAGTTGGCAATGGGAAACTGGGGCAGAAGAATTTCAGATGGATGTTCCATGGGGGGAACTAGTATGTTTTCACGAATACCGCTGGCTGTGAAGCACAAGTTATATGTTAATCTGTACGCTGGAGAGTTGTAGAAGAAAAAGCATAACACAAACTTACATACCCCTTAGTCTCACAGGAACCAACAAATCCTGCCAGAAAAGGATCTGGCTCATACCTGAAGCGCAAACCACACCAGAGTGCCGTAGTA